AAAAAATAGCCAGGCGTTGTGGTGGGTGCCTGTAGTCCCAGCTACTTGGGAGGTTGAGGCAAGAGAATTGCTTAAGGCCATGAGTTGGAGAGCTCTGTGAGCTGTGACACAACTGCACTCTACTGAGGGTGTCATAGTGAGACTCAGTCTCAAAAAAAAAGAAAGAAAGAAAAAGAAAATGCTCTCTAAAGCCATGCTCTTAAATCAAGACTCTCACGGACTATTCGCCATGCTTGGTTATTGAGTATGGGTTCCTAAAACATTTTATTCACATATATTTTCAATTCACATTGGTTGTAATTTCTTTACACCTTGACTCTTTATCTATGCTATGAATTGATAATGTATTATTTATTTTTTATATCTCTGAAGTCTAGTAAAACTATGTTTTGTTTGGAGGCAAAGTCTTTCTCTGTTACTCTGGACGGAGTGCAGTGGCATCATCATAACTCACAGCAACCTCAAACTCTTGGGCTCAAGTGGTCCTCTTGTCTCAGCCTGTTGAGTAGCTGTGGCTACAGTCACCTGCCCAGATGCCTGGCCAGTTTTCTCTAATTTTAGTAGAGCTAGTCTCACTCTTGCTCAGGCTGATCTCAAACTTCAGAGCTCAAGCAATCTACCCACCTCGGCTTCCCAGAATGCTAGGATTACAAGTGTGAGCTACTGTGCCCCTCCAAAATTCAAAAGAATTAACATGCCCTTCGAAGCCTTTCTAACTTAATCTTTTTCTATTTTCCTCCACACTAGCCATCTTTCAGTTCTATACGTAGCCTCAGAATACAGTGTCTCAAAAGTTTTGACTCTTCACAAATGTTCATGCCCTGGATTTTACCGTACCCATCCTTCAGGTCTCAAATTAAACATCACTTTCTCTCATGAGCATTCACAGATCTTTATAGAACTTTTCCAACTAAGTTAGGTCCCTTCATATATCATGTAACTTAGTACCCTTCCTTGACAGTACAATGCCTGAGCAGGTACTCAGTATTTGTTAAATGAGTGAATGAATAAAAGAAATAAAGCAGTCGTGAAGGCAAATGCTACTCCTAATATGTGCAGGATGTTATATTATTTGAGGCAACAAAGTATGGTTTTATTTCAAGAGATTACTAAAGCACATAAATCAATGTGAACTCCAATCAATAGGCTAGCTCACTGTGCCTTTAACAAAATAAGTTATTGGCTCGGCACCTGCGGCTCAAGCGGCTAAGGCGCCAGCCACATACACCTAAGGTGGTGGGTTCAAATCCAGCCTGGGCCCACCAAAACAACAATGATGGCTGCAACCAAAAAATAGCCAGGTGGCAGGCGTCTGTGGTCCCAGCTACTTGGGAGGCTGAGGCAGGAGACTCACTTGAGCACAGGAGTTGGAGATTGCTGTGAGCTGTGATGCCACAGCACTCTACCCAGGGGGATAGCTTGAGACTCTCTCTCAAAAAAAAAAAATAA